AATACAGTTGATGCATTAACAATTTAAAGTACAATTTATGCATTTTTGTGATCGCAACTGCTTGTGGTCAAAAAAATTTATAAATTTATAAACATGTCTTGAATAAATATTTGTTAAAAATATATTTTTTGGGTTCTATTCATGTATTAGTCTTAAAAGTATTTATCAAAATTGTTGAATGTGTCTAATAACATTAATTCAAATGTTATTTAGAAAAGAGACTGTTATTTTCTCATTTGTTATTATTATTATTATTATTATTAATATTATTATTATTATTATTATTATTATTATTAAATATATTTATTCAATTACCAGTGTTATAAATAAAATGTGTACAGTTACTACTACTATTAAAAAAGTAAAATATTATAACAACAAATAGATGAATAATATAATTTTTCAACTTTTGAAACAAAGAGATATGCAATATAAAAAAGGAATTTTTACAAACATTGAAGAAGATTGGAATGAATATAAAATATTTCGAAATAACCTAGTTCAAGAAATAAAAGAGTCAAAGGAAAAATTTTACATTACTGTTATTGACGAGAATAAATTCGACTTAAAAAGGATGTGGACAAATTTAAAATTATTATTGCCAAACAATAAAAATCAAACAGTAACTGAAGTAGGTAATGTTTAATAATAAAAGAGTCTGTGATAAAATGGTAATGACAGAAAAACTCAATCACTTTTTTCTTGAAAGTATAGAAGACATAGTAAAAAAATATACCTAAAAGACAGAGCCCCAATGAAGTTATAGAAGGAGTTGGGTTTGTTGCACCATTTCCTAATTTTACGACAGTAACGTTGCAATCATTAAATAAAATTTTAAAAGGTTTAAAAAATACTTCCGATGTAAACGACGAAATAAGTTCAAAAATATTAAAATATGTTTGTTTAATAGGAGCAAACCGCCTTCTGGACATTATAAATACGTCACTACAGAAAGGAGAATTTTCCAATGATTGGAAAACATCATGTATAATACCAGTCCCAAAAGTTGAAGGTACAAATCTTCCAGAAGAGCTTAGATCCATAAATATGGTACCCCCATATGAAAAAGTATTGGACTTATGTCTTAAAGACCAAATTACCAAATATTGTGAGAAAAATAATATTATTGTACCACACCAATCGGACTTTATAAAAAAATACTCGTGTGAAGCTGTGATAACAAACTGTGATAACTGGTTAAAAATTTTGTACAAAGGTAAAATAATTGTATGTGTTTTTTTAGACTTTAAACGTGCCTTTGAAAAAATTGACTGTAATATTTTAATAAAAAAATAATAAACTAAATAAAATTGGCATCTGTGATAATGTTTTAAAATTGTTTCAATCGTATTTAAATAACAGAACTTAAGTAGCAAAAATTGATAATTTGTTGTCTAGTAAACTAGAAATTAAATATGGTGTCCCACAGGGAACAGTGTTGGGTCCTTTATTATTTACATTGTACATAAATGATATTGTAAAATATATTAAAAAAATCGGAAATTTCTATAGAAATATATATATATATACATATATGTTTGCAGATGACACCATGTTATATATTTTGGGGGGTAATTTAGAAGAGTTGATGAATGTAATGAATGTTGATCTTAATAATATTTTTACTTGGCTTTGTAGTAATAATATGTGTTTAAATGTTAATAAATCCAAATACATTATTATGGAAACTAGTCATAAATTAAGTACCTAATTTAAGCATAAATAACAAAAACTTTTAATAAATCGCGAGGCGAGAATTATATTGTTCTATCTGCACTTTTTTCCAAGTCTGGGATTTTAGCTTGGTTAAGATATTTTAATGAATAATGGTTAAGATATTTTAATGAATATGGTTATATTTACAATGACTTAAAACAATGTTTATTACTCTTAAAGCTACAAAATGCATTTGAAAATTGTTCTATATTTTATTTCCAACAATACCAAATCATTATAATCTTCTATCTGCTTCGCCAATGGGATTGTCTGAATTTTGGAGATAGAACATTATAATTCTGTAAATTTCAGTTTAAGACTATAATTTCTGCGATACATGAGAGTTCTTTTGTGTCCTAATTTCGTGCTAAAAGTAAAAAAGCAAGAAAATATGGTGAAAAATGTATTCTCTTATCTATTTATTGTATTTCACTTGCTTTTTTAAATTCTAACAATAAAATATACAAGGAATGTAATAATAAAAATATTACACCCGTTAAAAAGAGCTTTTATCGAAGCATCTTCAATTACTAATTTCTTAAACCAAAATGTGGCGTTTGCAAAGAATATCGTATTTTAAAAAATGGTGGTAACCTAGCTATAGAAGTAGAGAAATTTAAAAAAACACTTCAAATCAGAGGAGTTTTGCAAAATAAAGGACCGCCAGAATACGGATAAAACAACAGCCGTTATTTGTTTTGATATGGAGAATGTATTTAATCTTCCACGATCTAATATTTCCTGTTTCTTTTATTCAAAAAAAAAAAATACCTTTAATTCAGTTGTCGTTTGCCTTAAAGAAGAGTATGGAAGAATTCCCGGAGATCAAGGAAATTTTCAGAGACAGGGCAAACTCAAATACGGGAAGTCCTCAGAGAATATTAATTTAAAATTACCAAAAAATGTTGCGTAAAAGATTAAAAAAATAAACGAGACAACCCCTAGTGACTTACCTTGCTTATTTTCTGATGGAGTGGACTGTAATTCTGGTTTTTCATAAATTGCCTTTGAAATAAGGAGCACCACCACACAATTTTCTTGCCGGTCGAGAAGCGTCGAATTTATGCATCGGTGAAGGTCCTTAAATATTTACAAGAATTTCCTGCGAAAATATTTTACAAAAAAGTACAAGATGACAAAGATTTTGTACAGGCAAATCTAATTTATCGTGTTGGAACAAGAAGCCACAAGGGTTTTTTAAGTTGCCCGATGTGAGACCATGTCCGGTGGTAAAAAAATGTTTACTCGCTGAAGTTAAGGTTTATTTTTACCAATTATTTAAATTAATTCCAGACGCTGATAAGTAGTTTATTAAAAGCATGTTTTAAGAATTTTAAGATAAGATCCATGAGAAAAAAATTGAAGCTGGAAAAAAGAAAAAAATACGTTTTTCATTTGGTTTTTCGTTTCATATTGTTTACTATATTGTGTATGAATAAAGTTGTAAAAGAAATGCTTTTTTATTGAAAATTCATTTAGATAGAACAAAATTTAAAATCAAAATCATTTTTATTTTGTATTTTTGTTTTATCTTTATATTTTATATTTTATTTTTGTTTATTATTTTTTTATAAAAAGTATAAATGAGCAAAACATAATTCACATAATAATATAAAACTACCTAGAAAAGTCAATAAATTATATTTTGACCAAAATAAAATTGATTTTTAAATGGTCAATTTTTTAAACGCTTCTCCTGACAATTTATTGTTTATGTAGATAGAATATTATAATTTTCGCCTCGCGAAATGGTTCTGAACTCCAAAGAGTAGATTGCTTTAAATATTTAGGTGTAATAATAGATAAAAACTTAAATTTTAAACCGCATATAGATTATGTCATGAATAAAATATCTAAAAAAAATTACTTTTTGTGTAGGATAGGTATGTGAAATTGTTGCTATACAAATCTATAATAAATAAATAAATAAATCAGAATCAAAATAATAGACTACAAAAGTTGCAAAATAAGGCAATGAGGATAATCCTAAAATGTAATCGCTATACGCATATCAACTATGTTAGATACTTTCAGTTTAATGAAACAATCTACAATATTGTTATTTATTTTTAAAAATTGGAGCGATTGATTAGGGTAGATGGTATTCATGATCATGGAAGTGCAAGTGATTTTTATATTGAAAATTTTAGTCGAGTGCAGACTACTAAAAATGTATTTGTTAATGGTCTGAAAATGTTTAACAAGTTGCCAAGTGATATTAAAAAATGTGATAATTTAAATAGATTTAAGTCACTATTACGAATTTACATACACAGTAATATATATTGATTACATGTTTTTATATTAATTGTTGTATAATAGCTTTTGCTAAATAAAGATTATTATTATTATTATTAGGTAATATTAAATAAATGCTGATGCCTAATGAAACTATATTTTTTCATTTAAACCCAATTATTTATTATCGTCCACGTAAACTGATTTTAAAAAGTATGTCAAAATATGTCTTATACATAGTTATAAATCTAGGAATCATAGTCAAAATGAATTTTGAGGCGTCGACACATTTTCAATTAAAATTTCTTCTGGCGAACAGTGGGGATACAACTTGAAAAAATAAAAACATTTAGTTGTCCTTTTTTTATTCATCATGCACCAAAATAAAGGAAAAAATATCCATATCCTATTTAAGGTTTACTTTTGTAGTGTAGTGTATACTAAAATACAAATTTGAGTGTTCATAGAAACAGTAAATAATTATTGTATATTCAAACCTTTCAAAATTAACCACCATCGATTTCAAAAAGTGTTCACAACATCTGTTAATCATAAATTATTATCTAAACCTTTATTTATTCATAGAAGATTGGATTTTTTTATAAAGTTTGTATTAAAGTTAATAAAAACAAAATACATTATATTTGTATTGTTTTTTTAACATGAAAATTAAAATCATATATTTTCTTAAATATTAACACCTGGCTACAAAAGCAAACTTTTTTGAAATATATTTTTTTCTTCAAATATAACAAAGGCAAAATTAATGTTGACTTTTATGCTATTTAAATAAATAAATTTATTATAAAAAACACACAATGATTAAATTTATAAAAATGGTTGATTTATTTAAAAGTAAATCTTAGTCTTAATTTTATTTTTCGTGAATTCGAAATTATCGCAATCAAAATTGCATAAAGCTTTCATTGCAAATAAACCAAGAAAACAAGTTCTTTGGCAACCGAACTTGCTTTTGTTATTTCTATTTTTATGCGTTTTACACAAAGAGTAAAAACACAATTACTTCTTAAAATATTCTATTTTAGATTTCAGAATTTGGAGCATCACCGAAAAAACCTTGCAACAACGGTTATTACCCAGTACACGAAGCAGCAAAAAATGCGTCGTCAAAAACATTGGAGGTATTTTTACAATGGGGCGAATCACAGGGATGTTCCCGCGACGAAATGATATCATTCTACGACTCCGAAGGAAACGTTCCTCTGCACTCTGCGGTGCACGGTGGCGACATAAAGGCGGTCGAGCTTTGTCTCAGATCAGGCGCTAAAATTTCCACGCAACAGCACGACCTCTCGACCCCCGTACATTTGGCTTGTGCACAGGGAGCCTCGGAAATTGTTAAATTGATGTTCAAAATGCAGCCGGAGGAGAAATTAACTTGTTTAGCGTCATGTGACATCCAGAAAATGACTCCGTTACACTGCGCTGCTATGTTCGACCACCCTGACATAGTCGAGTTTCTCATTTTAGAAGGTAAGTCGGAATTCGTAAAATCAGCACTGAAAAAAATTAATTTTTGATCGAAAGATAAAAATAATGATATTTTAACAAAAAATTGTCACTCAATATCGGTAATATAGGCCCACAGAAATCGATTCATCAAGAGGTTTCGCTAGCTATTAGGTGTCAAATTTTTAGTTAATAATTTGACACCCCATTTTGTCGCAAAGTGTTGTAGACCAGGTGGAGAAAGCACATATTATAACCGAGCAATTATTTTACAGCACACGAAAATTGATGTGCACTTATCCCCTTATTTTCAATTTAAAATAACAGTTAATATGCTGAATAATCACTACAGTTCCTGACACTACTCATTGATATCACAAAACTAACTATTGCTGGTGTTAAAGTATCCCCTGACGCTTTGTTAGAAATTGTATGATTTTAAATGGTACAATGAAACTCACATTTATAGTGACAATGTATATTAACTATGGTTTTGGGATGCCGGAATTGAAACTATTTTTTAATCTTGTTTCTACATCTAAATGGTGCATTTTTTTCAAAACAAAAATTTCATCCATTGACCGCTGTGGTTTTCAGGCCTTAAGTCACTCTACTGTGTTAAAAATAGATAAATTTCGATATTTTGTAAAATTTTATTTAAAAACGTATCGATTTGAAATTAAGATAAAATGTGGACCTTATTAATGGCAATAAATCCATATAATATTTTTTAACATACAGGATGAGGCGCTGGGGATAATTTAATTTAAAATTTTACCAATATTTAATGGTTAAAAAATCGGAGAAGCAACGTTGTTTTATAATTTTGACTATACACGTTAAAGTACTGATAATTAACCATTTTTTGATAGGGTTAAAAAATCGGAGAAGCAACGTTGTTTTATTATTTTGACTATACACGTTAAATTACTGATAATTAACCATTTTTTGATACTTAAGTATAATTATATAAACTTCTACATGCAAATTATGTTTCTACGAGAGGCATCATTTTTTAAGTTAGGCCTTCAAAGGGCATAATACTAACGTGTTTTACAAAGTAAATATTCTTTTATCTAGTTTTATAAGATAATCTATTATATATTACATATTATTCATTATAAATTACATATAATTATATATAATATATTATATATAACATACAATTTTTATATATTTATTTAAAAAAATCGCCATAGATTGAACTAAAATTACTTTTATTTATAAATTTAAAATTTTTTCAAGTTTACTAATTTTAATCATAGTAGGCATCATAGACTTTTCTCTATGGTAACCTACCATTGGAAGCATAAAAGATAATATGACAGTTCAGTTTATAAGTTGCAAATTCAATTTATAAGTGTACTATAAACTTAAAACATTAATTTATTAAAATGAATAAACTAAATATTAATTATAGTCAGTGTCAGCAAGTTAGAAATTATAACCTACTTTAATGTTATTTTTTGCTCCACAACCAAGCTTCAATTTATTTTTGTACTCTATAAGCAAGCTTTAATTTTAAAGTAAGGAAAGTAATATTTACCCAATAAATAAATTAGAATAAAGACTTTATTTTTTATGTTGCGATCGGCTATTTAGATATATTTTTTTATTCAGTTGTTTTTCGATTTTTTGTAATTAGTTATTTTGCAATTTTTTATATTTAATATAATGCTATAGAGGGTGTTTCTGGAGAAACGATATGGATTTGAAATTTTAATAGCGTATATATATATATATATATTATAAAATTTGATTTAGACTATACCTAAAGTCAATAGTTTTCAAGATATTATTTTTTTTTTGTTAAAATTTTGCTAAATGCACGTTAATCAAAAATAGCCTCTAATTTTTTTGTTATTAGGTTTGCTGACATGGGGTTGAAATTTTTTGAATATTAAAACATTGTTTAAATAATTAAATTTTTTAAAGGTTTTTCAACAAATAGCTTGAGAAAAACCACTTGAAATTAGGCAAACTTCAAACAATAATAACGTTTTTATTATAAATGTAAAACCCTGTATGTTTTAACATAATCGAATAGAAAATTAAAGAATCTTTCGATTGGTATTATAATAACTTATAATAAGTTAAAATTTCAGAGACATTTATCAATTTCTAATATTTTCAATACTATTTTGTATCAACAAACCTGCGAAATTCTACATGTGGGTTAATGTGAGAGTATCCATGGTTAGAAAAATTAATAACTCGTAAAATATTGACTTTGGGTATAGGATATGGTATAACCATTTTACTCAGAATTTTTTGTGGAATTCAAAAATGTAAAAATATATAAGGTGTCCTGTTTAAAATAACAAAGTTAAAGACATTTCCGGTAAAACAGTATTATTTTGTTCAAAATAATTTATGAAAAAAGTCTAAATCGAATAATTTACGCTATTCAAATTTTAAATCGATGTCTTCTAAATGGACTACCTACGTGAAACAGCCTGTATATTAAACGTCATTTATGTGTTTTGCTATATTTAATTATAATTATAATAATTATTAATAAAAGATACAACAATATTTTTATAAAAATGACAAAATGTACTAAACTAAAAATTTATGAATACTGCTACTGCTAATTCAAAACTGATTCTGGCCACAGAAACATCATTTGCATAAAAAAGTTAATTTATCAAATAATAGTCAAATATGAATACTTCAACGTGTTATACTCAAATTTATAAAAGAAAGTTCTTCGATTATTTACCCTTTAAAAATTGTTAATTTTTAAGTTAAATTATCACCAGCGCCCCCTGTATGTTAAAATTTAAACAAATTTTTTTCATGCTTTAATTGTCATTAGTAAGATCTACATTTTGTTCAAATTTCAAATCGATACGTATTGAAATAAAAAAGTTATTTCTTCATTTTTAAAACAGCGAAGAAAAAAATAAAAATAAAAACAAAGTTGTCAATGGACGAGATTTTTTTGTTGAAAAAGTACTGCATTTAGATGTAGAAATAAGGTAAAAAAGTTTCAATCGATTTCTTGAACCCTTGCAAATCGACCGTTCGATCCTTTCGCGAAACCGTAGTTAAGTTAATTAGTGTTATACGCATCAATTGATGGTTAGTATTTTGTGATCAATGGTTACTGTTTTATTTTATCCGTGTTGATTGTGTGCGACTCAAATACAAGCCGTGTTTTATACTATTTTTTCAAGCGTTTTATTGAGATATTTAAAAAGTTTAGGTTAGTTTTAAAAGAATAATAGACATTATAATTTAATTTCTGCTCCGCCGTACACTAATAGTGACAAAATTGCCACTGCGCCTCGCGCTGGTCAAAAATGAACTCTCTCTATATAAGAATGTGAATAGTATAATCCAGAAATTATTATATTTTTGAAAAATATATTCTCTGTATTTAAAATACTTGGACAATTGTTTTGTTATTGTAAATTAAATGAACAGTTTTCGTCAAACAAAACCTTGTCGCTCTTTAACAAAATAACTGGTTCAAGGGACTTTTTGACCTGTCAAAAAAAGGACAGTTAATTTAAAAATTTAAGAATTTATTTTTAATATTTAATTTATTTTTTCATTCATTAGTTTATTTTTATTACAATGGATGTAAATTGGTAAATAACACAAAATTACACGAACTGAACAGCAGTGTTAAATGCTTTAAACTGATCTGAACAATACAATTCATGGTATATATAACTTCTTTTCCTAAGTAAGCTTTTCTATGCGTTAAGTGTATATGTGCCCTAATATACAGGTGCACGTAACTCCTTCCTCCTTAAAAGTGAAGTCCAGGGCTGAAGGGCTCATGATCTTCTGGTAGGGTGAACAAAGGCGTGCCTTGTTTGTTTGCTGCGATTGAAAGGGCAGCGCTTCCGGTATCTCCACGTAATATATAGGCTAGAACATATTAGTATATGGATAAAAGATCCAGCAATGGTATTTCCAAACGGGTTCAAATGTGTTTATATGAGATGCTTCCATTAAGTGTCCCAAATTGTGAAGGTCGTCAAGGTTAATTTTTTCTAATTTAGTGACGTGTAAGAGGTTGTAATATTTTATTATCTATCAAAACATATCCTCCATTAGGGATAAACAAAAGGTTATGTTCCTTTGATAGGAGTGGTTTTATCGATAATTCGATTTCACATTGTAACTTTTGTTGATTTGAGGAAAATTAATATGCAGTTATTTGTATCATCGATACGTTGAATATAAGTTGTTTCTATATTGGCTTTTGCAGGAAGAAAGGGAAAGTCCGTCGATAATTTGTGTGATAAAGTTCTGGTAGATTCTTCAATGGTGTATTCGCATAGATAGTTGCAATTGTTGCAATCCAAAATAAATGATAATTTATAATTAGACATGTAACAGTTAACCATAATTAATTCCTTTAACAATAAAACATTTTCAATAGTAGGCGTTAGAGGTAGTTTAGCATTTAAGCTGGTATTTTAAAGTTTAATAAATCAGTAGATTCAATGATCGAAGAAAAATGTAAAGTTTTTAGTTTGGCGAACGGTATTTAAAGTATTATAAAATTTCTTAATTTTGATTTTGTAATACATTTATTTTATTGTCATATTTTTTTCAGTCGTTAGCGTCTAAATTTTCCGAAATTAATTTAAATACAGAACCCAATCCGTCAATTAAACCTCTTTTATATCTTTTTAGGGAGAATCGTTGTAAATTGTGACTTTAAATGTTCAATGTTAAAAATTAAAAGATTTTTAATTCCATTGGGTCTTTATAAAATACTGGATCATTAATTATTTTAGGATTTTGTTCAATATGTAAAATATGATTTTGCATTTTATCTACTTCTTCTACTAAAGGCTTTAAGTCTTTATAAAATATTAATATTTCATAGTATTTGATAATATATGAAATTCCGATAAAATATGGTAGCATTTTACCGTTATTTTCTGGATTTTTAAATTTTATTTGACGGTCCTGGCCTGGGTGAAGTTTAGCCGTTCATCTAATGTGATCTATAAGTTTTTTAATATTTTTATCTAGAGTCACTGTCATGGATTGGATCA